CTTCTGTTAGTCTTGTTGGAAGTTTATCAATCAGCTCTAACGAACATCAGCTTTGAGTTTCACTGATTTTTTTCTCTATTTTGTGCCTCAATTTCATTGATTTCTTCTCTTATTTTCATTCTTCTGCTTGTTTAAGTTCATTTTGCTCTTTTTTCTAGTTTTTGAAGTGGAAGCTTGAGGAAGTTTACTTCTATTCATAGTTTGCTGAGAGTTTTTATCATGAATGGATAGTTGAATTTTTTTTCTGATTTTTAGCGTGAACTTATCTAATACAAGTATGTAGTGTTATAGGTTTTCCTCTGAGAGCTACTTTAGCTACATTGCACAGGTTTTTATAGGCTGCACTTCCATTTCCATTCAGTTTAGTATATTTAAAAACTTCCCATGAGATGTCCTCTCTTTGACCAGTGGATTATTAAGAAGTACGCTGTTTGATTTCCAAATGTTTAGAGATTTTACTCTTATCTTTCTGTTACTGACTTCCAGCTTAGAAGAAGGTGTATTGTGCTGGTGTCTTCTTTGATGGTGTTGTGTCAGGACGCTGTTCTGTTCAACTCTAGCTGTAATGATTTTCTGCCTGCTGGAGGTGTTGGTTACTGATAGAAGGGTGTTGACGTGTCCACCTGTAAGAGTGGATGTGTCTTTTTCTCCTGGCAGTTTTATCAGATTTTGCCTTTTGTGTTTTGATACTCTGTGGTTAGGTTCATACACTCAAGGATTGTTATGTTACCTTGGAGAACTGTCCCCTTTATCATGGCATAATGTCCCTGATAATTTTCCTTGTTTTAAAATCAATATAGCTACTCCAGCTTTTTAAAAAATTTTATTTAAATTCAATTTAGTTAACATATGCTATATTATTAGTTTCAGCGGTAAAATTTAATGATTCATCAGTTACATATAACACCTGTGCTCCTTGCATCATGTGCCCTCCTTAACACCCATCAATCACCCAGTTACCCCACCCCATCCATCTTCCCTCTAGCAACCCTCAATTTGTTTTCTGTAGTTAAGAGTCTCTGATGGTTTGCCTCCCTCACTGATTTTATCTTATTTTATTTTTCCTTGCCTTCCTCTTTGTTCATCTGTTTTGTTTTTTAAATTCCACATATGAGTAAAATCATCTGGTATTTATTTTTCTTTCACTGACTTAATTTGCTTAGCATAATACACTCCAGTTCCATCTACATCATTGCAAATGGCAATATTTCATTTTTTGATGGCTGAGTAGTATTCCATTGTATATATACACCACATTTTTTAAATGTATTCATCTGTTGATGGATATCTGGGCTCTTTCCTTAGTTTGGCAATTTTGACATTGCTCTTATAAACTCTGGGGTGCAGGTGTCCCTTCAAATCGTTATATTTGTATCCTTTGGATAAATACCCAGTAGTGAAATTACTGGGTCAGAGGGTAGCTCTGTTTTTAACTTTTTGAGGAGCTTCTGTACTGTTTTCCAGAGTGGCTGCACCAGTTGCATTCCAACCCACAGTGTAAGAGGGTTCCCCTTTCTCCGCAGCTTTCTTTTGATTAACATTAGCATGGGATAGTTTCCTTTCTCTCTTTTAACCTATGTGTGCCTTTATATTTAAAGCAGGTCTCTTGTAGACAAAATATAGTTGGGTGTTGGGGTCCCTGGCTGGCTCAGTTGGTAGAGCCTGTGACTCTTGATCTCAGGTTCATGAATTCAAGCCCCACATTGGGTGTGGAGCATACTTTAAATAAATATATAACACACACACACACACACACACACACACACACACACACACACACACACACAGAGTTGGGTCTTTTCTATGCACACTGAGAGCCTCTGTCTTTTGATTAGTGTATTTATTAGACCATTCATATTAAAAGTGATCATTGATATAGTTGATCAATAAGTAACATATTTGTAACTGTTCATTGCATTTATTCTTTGTTTTCTTTTTTTCTTTTAAGATTTTATTTATTTATTTGAGGAAGAGAGAGAGAGAGAGAGAGAGTAGAGAGGAGCAGAGGGAAAAGGGCAAGAAGACTCCATGCTGAGCTCAGAGCCCAATGTGGGGCTGGATCCCAAGACCCTGAGATCATGACCTGAGCTGAAATCTTTTTTTTAAGATTTATTTATGCTCAACTGACTAAGCCACCCAGGCATTGCTCTTTTTTTTTTTTTTTTAAATAAAGATTTTATTTTTAACTAATCTCTACACCCAGTGTGGGACTCAAACTTACAACCCTGAGATCAAGAGTCGCATGCTTTTACCAACTGAATGAGTCTGGCACCCCTTCTTTGTTTCCTTTAACTTTTTCTGCCTTTTTTTCTGCCTTCTCTGATTTTAATCAAGCATTTTATGTGATTCTGTTTTCTCTCTTCTCATAGCATATCAACTCTTTTGAAAAAAAAATTTAATGATTGCTCTAGAGTTTGCAATATACAGTTACAACTACAGTTGACCCTTGAACAATGCTGGGGATTAAGGGCCTGCCCCACAGCAGTCAAAACTACATGTAACTTTGGACTTCCCCAAAACTTAATAGTCTTCTATTGATTGGACAGCTTACCTATAACAAATAGTTGACTAAAATTTTTTTTAAACATTTTATTTATTTATTTGACAGAGAGAGATCTCAGGCAGAGAGGCAGGCAGAGAGAGAGGAGGAAGCAGGCTCTCCATTGAGCAGAGAGCCCGATGTGGGGCTCGATCCCAGAATCCTGGGATCATGACCTGAGCCGAAGGCAGAGGCTTTAACCCACTGAGCCATCCAGGCACCCCGACTAAAATATTTTTTATGTAATATATGTTATATACTGTATTCCTCCAACAAAATAAGCTAGAGAAAAGAAAATGTTATTAAGAAAATCATAAGGATGAGAGTACACATTTACAGTATTGTATTTATTGAAAAAAATCTGTGTATAAGTGGACCTATGCAGTTCAAAGGTATGTTGTCCAAGATTCATTTGTAATCTGTGTCTACTTTTAGATAAAACCATACCATTTTACAGATAGTGAAGGTATCTCAGGACAGAATATTCCCAATTCCTCTGTCTCATTCCTTATAATATTGGTGTCATTTATTTCACTTATCCATAAGCTATAATTACCTAGCACGTTGGTGCTGTTTTGAGTTTGAACAGTTATCTATTAAATTAGTTAAGAATAAGAAGAAAGATTTTATTTACCTTCATTTATTCTTGCTTGCTTGGTTTCAGAGAAGTTGGATGTAATTCTTTACTTTTCTTCTCTATAGTGTTAAGGAACAAAAATCCAGTTGAGTGTACTAGAAGATAGAATTGGCTCTATTAAGCAACTCATGAATTGAGGCAGCATCCCATCTAGCAAGTAGAGGGGAGCTCATAGGAGCTGTACAAAATAGAAGGTTTTTAATAGAAGAAGGGTAGGGCAAGAAAGTTACTAGCAAAAGAAAAGAAAGGATTGTTTCAGGCAAAGTCACCTTGCCTTAGGGGAAATGTAGGGGTAAGGTGAATTACCTCATCTTCCTTTGGGGGCTGGTAAGGGACAGATTGCCTTGCTGGTGCCAGTCAGAAAATTCCAACCTGTTAAGACTTCATTTCTGGGGCAGGTTGAAAGTATAATTAAGTTAGGCATTAAAACCCCGTTTGGTAACTTGGCCCAAATGCTGCCATTTTAGATGTGTGGTTTCTTTTTAGCAATAGGTAAGGTATTTCCTCCCCTGGCTTTTTTCATGATTTGTCTTTGGTTTCCTGTAGTTTGATATCTATAGGTGGAGGGTTTTGGGGGTATTTATCCTGGTTGATGTTCTCTGAGCCTCCTGGATATGTGGTTTGGTGTCTACCATGAACTTTGGAAAATTCTCACCTATTAATACTTCAAATGTTCCTTCTTTTTTCTGTGTTTCTTCCTCTCTTACTCCATTTATGCATATCTTTCAGTGTGCTGGTGAGTGGGTCAAAGGCAATCTTCATTTCTTTTATAGTATTTTGATTTTGGGGATCTTCTTTTGATTCTTTGCGTTTTCATCTCTCTGCTTATATTAACTTTGTCTTTGTGGGTTGTTCACTCTTCTCTGTTAGAGCTACTAGCATATTTTTTAAAAAGATTTTATTTATTTGAGAGAGAGAGAGAAAGAGAGAGCGAACATGGGGAGGTTGGTTAGAGGGAGAAGCAGACTCCCTGCTGAGCAGGGAGCCTGATGTGGGACTCGATCCTGGGACTCCAGGATCATGACCTGAGCTGAAGGCAGTCACTTAACCAACTGAGCCACCCAGTTGCCCAGAGCTCCTAGCATATTAGTAATAGTTATTTAATTTATTTTTTTAAAAGATTTTATTTATTTATTTGAAAGAGAGAGATCACAAGTAGGCATAAGAGGCAGGCAGAGAGAGAGGGGGAAGCAGGCTCCCTGCTGAGCAGAGAGCCTGGTGTGGGGCTCGATTCCAGGACCCTGAGATTATGACCTGAGCCAAAGGCAGAGGCCTAACCCACTGAGCCACCCAGGCGCCCCTGGTCATAGTTATTTTAAATGCTCAATCTGATCATTGTGAAATCTTTTCCATATTTGAGTTGAGTTCATGTTTGCTTTGTCTCTTCAGACATTAGCACACCCTATATATATATTTTTTTTAAGATTTATTTATTTGAGAGAGAGAAAGTGAGGGGAGGGTCAGAAGGAGAGGGAGAGACTTTAGCAGATTCCACACCAAGCATGGAGCCGGACATGGGCTCAATCTTGAGACCCTGAGATCACAACCTGAGCCCAAACCGAGTCAGATGCTTAACCAACTGCTCCAGCCAGTGGCCCCACGTCTTGTAATTTTTTTGTTGACAGTGGCACTTGACACATGAGGTAATAAGAACTGAAGTAAATAGACCTTTAGTGTGAGGTTTTGTTATCTGGGTAGGACTTAGGCTATGTTTGATGTTTGCTGTAGTTGTAGATGTCAGAGGGTTCAGATTCTTCAAGTGTCCTTTTTTTGTCTCTCTACTATCTTTAGGTTTCCCCAGAAATTCCATCAGAAATTGAGTCTTCATCTTACGTCTCTCATTTGTAATCAGCTGCTGTTACACTGGAGCCCTGTGGATGTTGTGAGCTGTTGGGCATGGAAGGCATTCTGCAGTCCTGTGAGTCAGGGCTCAAGTTTTTGTGGGACTGAGGCCCTGGAGTGTGCCTTTGGTAAGACCTTCTCAGCCTTTACTTTTTTGGTTTTGTTTTGTTTTTCCTCTCTATTGTGAGACAGGAGGGCTAGGGGAGGCCCCACTTGTCAGTCTTCCCCCAGGTGAGATAAAGTTTTGATAAAGTACTTTTCCTTGCAAGAGGGCCTTTGGTATGGGTGAGTTTTCAAGATGGTTAACTTTTCTCAAGATGCATTTCATAATGATTAGTTTTAATCTCACCTCTGCCCAAAGCGTGAGGGAATTTTTCCTTGCAGTCTACACCATGAGAAGCTGGTGGGACTCCTGGAGTAAAATCTCATGAAAGCATGTTCCTTCCCCTTTCCTCAAGACTGGGCCTGTGAGTTTTAAACTCCACTTTCCACAGTTGGCCTCCAGCAGTTGTCAGTTACTGTTTATGCACTCAGCCAGTCAAGGGCTCTGGAGGGTTCTGTTCCAGCAACGCTGTGGTTCTCTGTATTCCTGGGTCTGAGTCTCTGGTTTTGGGGTAGCAGTTTTCCCTGTAACCTCATTCTGATGGATCTAGAACAGCCTGTTGATTTTCATTTTGTTCAGTCTTTTCTCTTGTGTGGAGGACTAGTACTATTTATGTGTTGGAACTGGTATTAGTTTCATCAGTTTTAGCTTTGTGGGTTTTTTGGCCCATTTTTAATTATATAGTAGCCCCCTGTTATCTGCAGGGGATATGTTCCAAGACCCTCAGTGAATGCCTGAAACTGGATTGAACTGAACCCTATATGTACTATGTTTTTTCCTTTGCATACATGTATACCTATGTTAAAGCTTAACTTACAAATTAGGCACAATAAGAGACCAATAACATTAATAACAAAATAGAGCATTTATAACAATATACTGTCATCAAAGTTATGTGAATATTGTCTCTTTTTCTCAAAATGTTTTACTCAACTGTACTTATGCTTCTTGTGATGATGTGAGAAGAAAAAATGCCTACATGAGGAGATGAAGTGAAGTGAATGAAATAGGCATTTTGATATAGTGTTAGTGTGCTGTTGACCTTCTTACCACAGGTCAGAAGGATCATCTGTTTTCAGACCTTGACTGACGACCTGGAAAGTGAAACGGTGAATAAGGGAGAACTACTGTATTTACATTTAGGATTGTTAGGTCTTCTTGGTGAACAGACATTTGGAAATCATTATTTAATATTCTTCTCTATCTCTGGTAATTTTCCTTACTCCAAAGTGTACTTCCGATATTAATATAGTTACTCCAGATGAAAAAAATGCATTTTGAAATCATTATTGAATGTTCCTCTTTATTTCTGGTCATTTTCCTTACTTCAAAATCTATTTCTTCTGATATTAATATAGTCACTCCACATGGAAAAAAAATAGCATCCTTCTACTTATATTAGAAGTGGATTTTTTTTTAACATTTCAGTCATAATTTATTTCAGATGACAACAGGAATTCATGTATTTACTAAGAGATGAGAAGTGGATTTCTTATAGAGAGCATATTTAGGTCTTCTTAAAAAAATTTCAGTCTGATAGATCCTTTCTTTTTATCAGTGTGTTTAGAGTACTTACATTTAATGTAACTATTGATATGTTTGGATTATTTCAATCATTTTGTTATTTATATTCTCTCTGTCCTCTGTGTGTGTGTGTGTGTCTCTGTTTACTGAGGTATAATTAACATATAACTGACACCTATGTTTTTATTTTTCTCCCTTTCCTGGATTGCTTGAATGTTCTTTAGTATTCCATTTTAATCAGTCTATTGAGGTTTTTGACTGTGTATCTCTGTATAGTTGTTTTAGTAGTTCTAGGGAATTACAGTATGCATATTCAACTTTTCTGTCTACTTAGAAATAAGATGCAGGGTGACTAGGTGGGTCAATCAGTTGAGCATCTGATTCTTGGTTTCAGCTCAGGTCATTATCTAGGGTCATGTAATTGAGCCCTGAGTGGGGCTCTGTGCATAGAGCATGTGAAATCTGCTTGAGATTCTTTTCCTCTCCCTCTCCCAGTCTCTCCCTTGTTCTCTGTGCCTTCCCCACCTCATGTATACACATATCTTTCTCTCTCCCTAAAATAAATAACATCTTTAAAAAAAAAGAAAAGAAAAGAGAGAAGATGCAGGGTGCCTGTGTGGCTCAGTCGGTTATGTCCAACTCTTGATTTTGGCTCAAGTCATGATATCAGAGTTGTGAGATTGAGCCTTGTATTAGGCTCTGCACTGAGTGTGGAGTCTGTTTAAGATTCTTTCCCTGCCGCTCCCTCTGCTCCTTTCCTGCTCTCTCTTTCTCTTAAAAAAAAAAGGAAGGAAGGAAGGGTGGACAAGTAGATAATGCCACTTCAAGTAGAACATAGAAACCATACTGTCACATAGGATCCTTTACTTATATGTTATATCTTTATCACACTGAAGGTTGTTCAGTGTTACATGTCATACCTGTTTTAAAGAACTCAAGAGAAGAAAAAGTCTCTTATACTTACATAGCTATTTGACATTTCTATTTCTCCTCTTTTGTTTCTAAAATTTCCACTCTCCTCCTGGTATTATTTCCCTTCCATCAGAAGAATTTCCTTTAGCATTTCTTTTAGAACAGGTCTATTGGTGATGAGCTTTCTTTGTTTTTCTTTACCTGACAATCTGTTTCTTTCAGTTTCATATCCAAGAGATATTTTGCTGCTGTTATTCATAATCTTTCGATAGCTGCTCCCTTTTCCATCTGTTAGGGAGAACAGACAATGAGTATCTTGGTAATGGGCATTAAATTTCATGAGGGAGATCCCTGAAGACTAGGAAAGGAGCTGTAGGCTCCTAGAGAAGAGATCTTCAGCACAGTTTGTTGAAGATTCTGGGGAAGTACAGGCTTTTGGAGGGAGAGGTTAATAGCTGATGGAACACTCGGGGATGCTAGGCCCCAGGCCTTGGCTCAGCAAAAATTCCTGTGCCCATTTTGGCACAGATATATGGAGGCCTGACTCTCAGAGTCATGAGCTTCCTACTGACTTAGGACAAGTTGATCCTTTATAAATTTTAGGTGTCTTTTGCTAGAGGCTTTCTGCCACATAGGATCAAAAATAGATGAGAGTTAGACACTCCCCCCTCATAACCTTGCCTCTTGATTATAATAAAAAGGAGTCTTGGACTATACATTATACAGGTATCAATTAAACAACACTTAATAGCAATCAGGTAAAAACAAAACAAAACAAAACAAAATAAAACTATACCTGCAGTCTGTTCAGTGATGCCATGGAATCCAAAATTTCATCCTTTCTTGTGATCTGATCACTGCTTTGCACAGGGAAAGATGCTATACATCAGGTAAGATGCTACAACTTTCTTGAGGCTGGGTTATTTTATAACTGTCACCAGCAGCCAGAAATTCTCTCTGTAATGACTAGACACAGGATGTTTAGGAGTTAAGCTACTTGCCTCTTGGATTCTCATCCTCCCAAGGTGAAGAAGGGTAGCTTTAATGTATCTAATACAGATCTGGAAACTCCCCCTCCCTTTTTTTTTTTTTAAGTTTTATTTATTTATTTGACAGAGAGAGAGAGACACAGTGAGAGAGGGAACACAAGCAGGGTGAATAGAAGAGGGAGAAGCAACCTTCCCACTGAGCAGGGAGCCCGATGTGAGGCTCAATCCCAGTACCTTGGGATCACGACCTGAGCCAAAGGCAGATGCTTAATGACTGAGCCACCCAGGCACCCCGGCAATTTTTTCATTAAGTTTTTAAATTTTATTTCCAGTATAGTTAACACATAGTGTTATATTAGCTTTCAGGTGTACAATGCAGTGATTAAACAGTTGTATGGAGAAATGTCTGTTCATGTCTTCTGCCCATTTTAAATTGGATTATTTGTTTTTTGGGGTGTTGATTTGTATTAGTTCTTTATGTATTTTGGATGCTAACCCTATATTGGATATCTTCTCCCATTAGTAGTTTCCCTTTTAGTTTTGATGATTATTTCCTTTGCTGTGCAGAAACTTTTTGTTTTGATGTATCTTACTAGTTTATTTTGGTTTTTTCCCCCCTTGCCTCAAGAGAGCTAGCTAGAAATATGTTGCTACAGCTGATGTCAGAGAAATTATTGCTTGTGCTGTCATCTAGAATTTTTGTGTCAGATTTTACATTTAGATCTTTAATCCATTTTGAGTTTAGTTTTATGTATGGTGAAAGAAAGTGGTCCAGTTTCATTCTTTTGCATGTAGATGTCCAGTTTTCCCAATGCCATTTGTTGAAGAGACTGTTTTCTGCCCATTGGATATTCCTTCCTACTTTCTTTTCTTTTTTTTTTTTTTTTAAAAGATTTTATTTATTTATTTGACAGAGAGAGATCACAAGTAGACGGAGAGGCAGGCAGAGAGAGAGAGAGAGGGAAGCAGGCACCCCGCCGAGCAGAGAGCCCGATGTGGGACTCGATCCCAGGACCCTGAGATCATGACCTGAGCCGAAGGCAGCGGCTTAATCCACTGAGCCACCCAGGTGCCCCCTCCTTCCTACTTTCTTAAAGATTAAGTGACCATATAATTGTGGTCATATAATTATTTCTGGGTTTTCTGTTCTGTTGATCTATGTGTCTATTTTTGTGGCAGTACCAAACTGATTACCACAACTTTCTAATACAGAAGACAGGCATTATGATACCTCCAGTTTTGTCCTTTGCAAGATTGCTTTGGTTATTCGGGGCCTTTTGTGATTCCATACAAATTTTAGGGTTGGTATTTTCTTGTGAAAAATACTGTTCATATTTTGATAAGGATGGCATTAAATGTATAGATTGCTTTGGGTGGTATAGACATTTTAACAATATTTGTTCTTCCAATCCATTAGCATAGATTATCTTTCCATTTTATGTGTGTGTGTGTATGTGTGTGTGTGTGTGTGTTGTCTTCAGTTTCTTTCATTGGTGTTTTATAGTTTTCAGATACAAGTCTTTCACTTCTTTGATTAGGTTTATTCCTAGATATTTAATTAGTTTTGGTGTTATAGTAAAGGGGATTATTAATATCTGTT